TTGGTGTTCTTCTAATGGCACCTCTAGTAGATGAAGGTGTTAATTGAAATGTTACCCCCAACCCTTTTGGGATAGGATGTAATTTCTGGTAAGTTTATAGCATCTTGTCACTGGGGCCTTAAAGGGACCTGTGTTAAGTGAAGAAGGAGTTCTAGCTGGTATATCTCAAAAGTCCCATGAATAAGGTTTACAGTCAAAACTTTAATACAGGTAGATTAACAACAAAGTGGACGAAATTAGGACTTCCTTTGTTATTTCATTTTTTTTTTTTTATGGCTAGGAGAGTGACTTTCAGCTGAGGATACAAAACTGAGGCAGAGGAACAGCTGCCCAGGTGGCCTCTTACCATGGCAGATCACAAGTGTCAGAGACTGGATTAGGGGTGTGTAGTACAGAGAAAATACCAAAGTCCCCGGAGGGATTTCTAAGGAGAGAGACACTGGAGTCAGCATGCATGTCATATGTGGTATAGGGATAAAGGATGGACATCAGTGCCAGATTGTTCTTATTTGGTTCCATCAGCACAGGTATCATTAACTTACCTCCACCATTGGTCACAATCATAATACCCTGATAGCTATCTACACATCCATCATAATTTTACATTCTGATAAGTCCACTGGACATTATAAATGCATATAACATACTACACCCAGCTCAGCAAAAATGTGCCGAAAGGTTATCTTGGTGGTTGACAGCAGTGTCCACTCACTCATATTGTTCAATATACCAGGAGAGGGGACCACTCATCATTACAGGATGTACAGATTTTACTAAATCAGTATCACTTTTATACCATCTCCAAGTTGACTGATAGTAATGTGTACCCATGTCAGTCAAGAAGTAGTGTTTTCTTAAATTCTGGAATTGTTCCAGGCCAAAACAGAAAAAGGGGGCAGGACACCACTGGGAAGATGTTGTGTGATAAACTAGGGAGATGGAAAACATGTTTACTTACTCCATGGGAATAAGGAACCCATGACAGACAAAAGTATGGAAACCACCAGAGTTCAACTTGGTCAACAAGTTGAGTTGTATAGGGGTTATTTACAGAAGTATGAATGAGAGGTTGTTTACAGGGCCACAAATACTCAATGACAGCTGTGTCATCAAGGCCCACACCCATGGGTGCCAGCTCATGATGCCGTGAAATTGTAGCTCACTGAACAGCCTGTAGGCATCTGAAGAGACTGGAGAGCATCCTTTCCCAGTTCCTCAGTTGGGGTAAAGCACTTTCAGGCAGCTTGCCTGGATTCTGCTTTCTTTCAGGCAGCTGGTCTGGTCTCTGAGTCTTCTTTGAGGCTTGGCTATCCTGATCTGAGGGTGCTATCAGTTGTTACTGCTTACTCTGCAGATAAGGGTCCAGTGAACAGAACCTGCTCTGGTCAGTTCCAGGGATGTCCTGAAGCTATTGTGAGTTGTTTGCCTTGCTGCTTAAGGAGCGTTCTGCAGAATGGAAACTTTTACTTCCAGAGGAAACATATATAACAGAGATCAAACATCTCCCTTCACTAACCACAAAGCGACAACTACATTTCTGCAGGGCCATCAAAAGGGGAGTGTAAATCAGTGACTGGCCTGTACAATAGCAGGAACTATTCTGTTCATTTAACATGACATTCATCACAAAAATAGGTAGAACACATAGGAGAATTCAGTGTTTTGATTTTCCCTTTTATCTCCTAAATATATATTGTTTTACAATCCACCTCGCTCACTAGTAGTGGCCAATGCCTTGCTTAGAACTTTCTCATTTACATTATCTGAGTGCCTGATGGAAATCTACTTTATCACACACCCCAGAAGAGCAGTTGGCAACTTGGAAGTTGAAGTGGACGTATGCATTTCAGCTTTACCTCTGTGGTTTGCATGTTAATTACCTCTTGCCTTATTAAAAGTATCTTATCAAATAAGAAAATGCCTTTGTGATTAGCTGTTAGCTTCCAGTATTTCTTTCCCTTTAGTTTGCCCTCTTTCAGAGACAGGCCTTTGAATGGCATTTAGAAATGTTGGTTTTCCAATGCTTTGCATGGGGCTTCCAGGTGTCAATAAGCCCCTATTTTAGTATACAGAATATACTTTCAAACAATGTTTTTTTTTTCATAAGTATGTCCTTTAGGAATCTTTCTTTGTCTCTTGTAACCTGATAAATCAACCACCATGAGACAAATATTGGGGTTCAAACTTCAAACTGAAGATCAGAAAATGCAAAGCAGCCAGCCACTACTTCTTACCTCTACCCTCTCTGAACTAAGCTCCAGACTGCTGCCTCTTCTCAGTGTGGCTGGAGAATTAACACCAGTTCTGTGATCCAGTTCCCTTCTTAAATACCTCTCATGAGTCCTGGGTTAAAGCAGTGAGCTCTGTTACTTTTTAGACTGATTCAATCCCATGTAGCCCTGGGTGGCCTTGAACTCTGACAGATCCATCTGCCTTTGTCTCCTGAGTCCTGGGATTAAAGGTGTGTGGCTTCTGTGGCTAACTAGTACGGCTGCTTTGCTATTTTCATCTCCAGTGGCTTTAATGAATCATAAACAATATAACACCAGTCTGTGTCTGTACCTCTCTTTCCTCCTCTGTCTTCCTCTCTGTGTCTGAAAATCATTTTTCTTCATGTTCACTGTGGCATTAGAGGGAAATCAGATCTCTACTGGTTGCTGTCACTGCACATGAGCAGGTAGATTCAGTATACATTACTGAAAATGAGAAGGACAATTCTGACTCAGTGAAACACATACCTCAGAATGTTAGTGCACAGCCTAATATGGGGACAGAGACAACTGTCGTGACAAGCTCAGCACACTTACTGACTCTTCATTATGTATTTTAAGTGGCTTAGACAATGAGTTTTTTACAGTTATTTGATGCCAATGTTTTTGTTGTTTGTTTTTCAAGACAAGGTTTCTCCGTGTCACCTTGGAGCCTGTCCTGGAACTAGCTCTTGTAGACCAGGCTGATCTGCCTTCCTCTGCCTCCTGAGTGCTGGGATTAAAGGCATGGGCCACCACCACTTGGCCTCCCATGTTATTTGTTTTAAGATGAAGTTTAAGCCTTTGGATTCCATCTGCAGGGGGAAAAGTAATTACAGAATAATCAGTCATGCAGATGAAGGCTGTGAGGCATAATGCAAGTGGACCAACCAGCAACTGTGCTGTTTTCTGTGCTTGTGTGTTAGTGTGTATGTGCATGTTTGCATGTGAAGCATAAATGTGTATATGAGGGAGTTTGCCTGTGCAAATGCACAAAGTCCGGGGGAGATGTTCACATGTTCTCTTCTTTTATCATTCTCTGGCTTGGTCCTTTGAGGCAGCCCCTCTTGTTGAACTATAAGCTGTTGGATTTGACTAATGCCAGCAAGTCCCATGACCTTACTATCTCTTCCAGGCTTAGTGCTGGGGCCATGCCAAATTCATCATATGGGTGCTGGGATCCAAACTATGTTCTTCATGTTTTTTAATAAGATTTATTTTTTAGTTTTGAAACTGAAATATACTTATAGCATTTCCTCCTTTCCTGTCCTCCATCCAGTGCATCATCCTATGTACTATCTCATTGTTCTTCCTCAAATTCATGACCTCTTTTTCTATAAATTGTTCATATATATTGTATATTCACATGCATACCATGTAACATATATATGTATATATATGTGTGTGTGTCTGTGTGTGTATGTGTGTGTGTCCTTATGTGTATGTGTTTGTATAAAACATGTTCAGTATGTGTGTATGTGATTTTAGGTCTGAATATTTGATAGTGGATAACAACTGAGGGGTACTTCTCAAGGGAGAACTATTCTCCCTCTCTCAGGGTCCCTTGGTTGCCTGTAATTCTTTGTCTAGGGTTGATCTTCGTGGTTTCTCGGTTTCAAGGTAAATTTCCCTTGATGAGGGGTGAGAATTTCATTTATCTGTGTGTATAAGAATAAAAAATCAGAATGCAGTTAGAGCTTATTCTGGTTTAGTAAAGTGGTGGTTTCATGTGTTTTACTAAGATCCCGGACCACACTAGCAAGTGTAGTCAGTTGGACAGCAACCATCTCTTTAGACTATGTGCTATTTTTTTTTCAAATAAGCATCAATCACAAATGAAGAGAAAAATGAAATGCGCGATTGTTCCTTCCTGCAACCCCTGATATTTGCGTAATTAGAGTGGGAGCTACAAACATGAGCATGAGCTTTCCTCTCCTCCCCTTCTCTTTCTCCTAGTTCCCTCTCCATTCACTGCCCCCCCCCCCAACTCCTCCTGTGCTCTGGAGAACTTGCTCCTCTCCCCTTTTGTGAGGGACCTTATATGAACCTGTTGGAATCCACCTTGTATCCTAGTTCCTCTGGTGGTGTGGATTATAGGCTGGTGATCCTTTGCTCAAGGTCTAAAATCCATGTTCCTCTTATTGTGACTGGGTTACCTCATTCAGGATGGTTTCTTCAAGAGGTTTGGAATAGGACAGTGCTGGAACTCAGCCCCAAGATCATTTCTAACTACTGAGAGACTGGGTGATTTAAAGATCCATTTCCTTCTTCCCTTCCTGAACTGGGTTTTGTCTATGTATTTATTTAATGGTGATGAGGATGTTCCATGCTAAGTGTAATAACTGGCCTCAAAAAGTGATAATTATTTTAGTAAAATCCTTTTGCTTCCAGGAAAGGATTGTCAGTTATATTATAGTACACTGTGAATATGGATTTTGAAATATGGTAAACTGAGATGCCATGCTATTGTTAACTTTAAAGCTTCAGGGGTCATATCTTGCAGCTTACTTTATTCATTAAATGCATCGAGGCACTGAGGATAGGGAGAAGAGCATCCTAAAGAATAGTATTTGGCACTAACGACAAACTGTAAAGCATGGGGCTGGTCTGACCCACAGTTGACCAATGTCAGAGGAAATAGGGTTTTTATTGTTGTTATTCCCCAAAAGTCTGATTGGAAAAGCACGCCTACCTCTTTTGACATGTTTGGTACTGCAGAGCTCACTGAGGTTCCCTTTCTCTTCAGACATTTGTAGGGAACATGAATGCTGACAGTGTGGTGCACCACAAGCTGCTACACTCTGTGAGAACCCGCTTCGTCCGCTTTGTGCCCTTAGAGTGGAATCCAAGTGGGAAGATGGGCATGAGAGTGGAGGTCTACGGATGCTCCTACAGTAAGTACCCGCATGCACAGAGTCACATAGCACCCATGTGAATGACGTTGCCCATGGAATCCTGGCTTATTCATATTGACAATTACAATTAGTGTGTGTGGATGTGTGTGTGAGCTCACATGTGTGGGTGCAAAATTAGGGTGGACGGAAACCTACAAAGTTCCTGAAGAACACTTTCCATTCTCTTGGTCTAGAACTTGCAGCTCAGAGCATGCTGGCTGAGCAGTGACTCACAGAGGTCTTGCCATCTGCCTTTCTTCTCTGCTGGGTTTCCTAGTGGACACACTCACATCCATCTTGATTTGGGCTCTGGGTATGGAATACAGATCTTCATGCCTGCAAGGCAAGCATTTTAGAAAGCATAGCTATCATAGCTATTTCCCCGGCCTATAGTTATCTCACTTTATTCTGGACTTTAGATTACATACACACACATATACACACACACACACGCACAGGCACACGCACAGGCACACGCACAGGCACACGCACACGCGCGAACACACACACAAAATAATGCAATAAATCCTCAATACAAAGTTCAAAGTTAAGAGCTCTCGGAGCTTGAGTAACCATTTCCCTTTTGCAATCAGAAGTAGCTATGCTCAACCTATCCCGGAAAGTGTGGTGATGTAGTGAGAAGATCTTCTCTATCCTAGACCTAGGAAAGGAACATGCTCTTCTCTGCATCCTAGAAGAAGAGGAAATGTTCACATTGGGAAACGCATTCAGTTGTCTTCTTCTGCAGTTATGCTCTCCTTGTGTTATCCTGAGAGTTTTTTTTTTTTATAGTGAATTTGATGTAGGGACCCATCTTAAGCATGAAGGGGCTGGAAACATGGATAGAACTGAATGGATAGTTACAGAGGGAAGGAGTCATGCAGGAATGCTGCCATCCTAATTCCTGCCTGTAATCATGATGCTGAACATGTGAACTGTGTCATTATGAACTGATTTCCTTTTAAGCCCTGGCAACCACCTGATTATTTCCTATACTAATATCCAGTGATGAGTAATAAGTAGCGAACACACACTTAATCAACACACTTTTAAAAACCACACTTATCTTAGCTTTCTTTCCTGTTACTGAGATAAAATACCCTGGCAGCACAACTTCAAGGAGAAAGGGGAGAGTTATTTCAACTTACAATCTCAGGTTACAATCCTTCATTGCCATGCTGTCAAGGTGACGGAAAGCCGACAAGGCTAGTAGCATCATGGCGGAAAGCCGACAAGGCTAGTAGCATCACACCCACAGTTAAGAGCAGAGAGAAAAGAATGCATGGACACATGCTAATGCTCAACTTGTTTTGTCACTCAGCAATGCAGGGTGCCCTTCTCAGATAGTAGTGCCACCGAGAGTGGGTGTGTCTCCACACACTCAAGACGATTCTCTCTTAGACATGGCCGTAGACCAACCTAATCGAGACAATCACCTACTGAAATGATCTTTGTAGGCTACTCCTTGCTCTCATGTAGGCGATTGAAGCCAGCACAGCAGTTCAGTGAATTGCTGGTTTGGGTCGTGGGAGGACCTCACATGTGACCCACAAGCCAGGTCAAAACAGCACTGGCTTCAGAAGCATTTGAAGTGCTCCATGAAAATGCATTTGCATCCACAATTCTACATGCACTGAATTAAGATTTTGGGGAATGAAAATACAAAAAAAAAAAAATGTTAATGGCTCCCTAATTAAACTATAGGCTAAGGTGTATTTGTCAGAAAAATGAAGTCCTGCAGGCAGGGAGGAGATTTTTTTTTTTTTTGAGAAATGACTATTTATCATGGACAAGCACTTTTAGAAAGAGTATGATTTATGAAAGATGTATCAACAGCCTATTCAAGGAGAATTTTGCCACCTGCAGTCTGTGGCCTTTACTTCTCCCTGTACCTTTCTCTTTGTGAGGACTATTTGTCACTTCTGGGAAGAGTCTGTGATTGTCGTTGATTTTTGTTTAATGGTTTGTTAAGAAACTTCATGATGGAAACCACTTGAGAAAGTTTATTTATGTCACTTAGACAGTGATCTCTTTGGATCTAATAATAATTTCAATTACATTTTAGAGAGAGACATGGAGAGTGTGTGTGTGTGTGTGTATTTGTACATATGTGAACACACAGCCCATGACATTATGGTGTGCATGCACAGGTCAGAAAACAACTTCTGAGAGATTTTTCTCTCATTTTACCATGTGGATACTGAGGGTTGAGTTCTGGTTGTTCAGCTTGGCAGCGAGCACACTTACTCCTGAAGGAGGCATTGGCTAGCCCTGGTATAGTAACTTCTGTTAGTCTTTCACGTGTCCCCATGTTTTAGTGCTTCCCCCCCCAATGACTTTGTTCATGATTACACATTTCGCTGACTCACCCTGTACCCCCACCTTAAAGGCTTATGGTCCCAGTCAGATCCCAACTGTTACTTCATGTGTATACATGAATGTGTGTGTTGATGCATGTGTCAGTACAGGATTACCAGGACATGTATGGGCATGTGGGCAGAGGCAAGAGGTCATCAACAGCTATCCTCCTACAGGTACTGCTCACTGCCCACTTTCTTTTTTGATTTTTTTTTTTTTTTTTTTTTTTTTTTTTTTTTTTTTTGAGACTAGACCTGTTGCTGGCCTGGAGTTTAACAGGCTGCCTGAACCCTAGGGATCTGATTATCTCTGCCTGCTCAAGGCTGTGCTCATAAGCACCTATTGTCTCTACTGGGGCATGACTAATAGGCAAGTTGGCCTATCAGTGAACCTAGGCCGCTTTTAAGCATATACCACCACTCCAACCTTCTCCCATAGGGCCTGGGAAGCAAACTAATGCCCTTGTGTTTTCTGGGCAAATATACCCTACAGAGATAACTCAGAGCTAATAAGCCAATAGGTTGAAAGGTATCTTTGAGCAATATTTTAGTTTGATCCAATGATGGATTCCTTCATAATCTATGCCAACAAAATATCTTCTCCCCAGAAAACATGCACATTTTTTTCTGAAGTAGAAAGATACATACAGATTTGCTAAACCCAACTCTATTTCAATCTGAGGTACTCCGGACTTTGAGGGAACTCAGGCCTGCTACCTCCATTGCAGGATATCCTATATCTGGTGAATTACCTAAAAGGATGGAGTTCATTCAGTAAAACCGGCCATCAATGGAGTGATAGCCACCTTGGGAAGCTATTCTAAACATAATGAGCTTCCTAGTGTTGTACCCATAGCTGATATTTATTTCCCACAACCCCACACATATGTCTCTCTCTATAAAAACCTAAGCCCTTACCATGGCTTCTGCATCCAGTCTATTCTAGGTTGTTCCTCTGTTGATATGTTAAAACACTGAGCAAAGCAACTTGATCAGAGCAGAAGTTCAAGCAAAATCTATGGAGGGATATGCTTACTGTTTAACCCCAGCTCATAGTCACCTGTCAGTTTGATATAGCCCAGACCCAACTGCCTAAGGATGACACTTCCCACAGTGGGAGGAGCTCTCTTTCCTGAATTAGCCATCAAGAAAATGCCCCCATGAATATGCAAGGAAGATTTTAGGGAAGCCCCGTTTTTGGCATGTCAAGCTGACAATGAAAAATAGCCATCAGAGGCACAGCCTTCCACCATCACTGTGTCCCCATTTGCCTCTTTACCGTTCCCATTAACACAAAACTCTGCCATGAATGTCACCAAACAACCCTACCCAAAGACCCTGTGGCCCTGTTTAGGACTTCCCTCCCCCTTTAATCATCTTCTCTCCGCACAATGATTTTTCTAAAATCTGTCTTGAGTTATTATTGTCTCTGCCTGCCTCTCTTTGCATAGAACTTCACCAAGATCTTTGGACGACTAAGGGTTAGCTGGATCGCCAACATGGCCGGGCTATAGTCCTAAGGCATGCTGGTCCAAGTGTTGCTGAGATTTTATTTGGGTTAGGCATGCAAGCAGTTGATTTTATTTATTTCCTTTTAATTTTATGAGTATGGGTGTTCTACCTCCATGTATGTCTAGGTGCCACGTGAATGCCATGATCAAAGAAGCAAGAGGAGGGCACTGGATTAGTTGTGAGGTGCTCTGTGGGCACTAGGAATTGAACCGAGGTCCTCTGGAAGAGCAGCTAGTGCTCTTTACCTCCGAGACATCTCTCCAGCCCTGTAACCCAGTGATTTTTCAGTAAAGGAGATAACACTCAATAATCTAGGGGAGCTTGATCCAAACACTGGGCTGATTTAAGAGCAGAAGTCAGATTCCTGATGAAGAAGGCCTTCTCCATTTGGACAGTACTTGCAGTGGTGGCAGTTTCAAGGCCATCAGTGAGTGATCTGTGTGGTGAAATTCACACTCTTCATTCTTCCGATGACGTACAGACACTACTCACTCTATGCAGAATGCTCCATGGAAAGTATTGTCTTCCTAACTTGCCAGTGGCTTCCACATAGACAAATACCTTCCACCTGCATTAGTTCAAACTACCATTTGACTTATTAAAAAGTAGCTTTAAGGCTGGAGAGGTGTCTTTATCAATAAAGTCCTTGCCTCCTGAACAGACAGATGTTAAATGGAAAAAAGATCTGAGCCTGGTAGCATGTACTTGTGACCCAAGTGCTAAGGATGTAGATTCAGGAGGTCTCTGGGGATTGCTGGCCAACTAGTCTGCAGGTTTAGTGAGGGCCACATCTCAAGAAAATAAATAAGGGCAAGAGTTGCAGAAGAGGATACTCAATAGTAACTCTTACTCTACCCTCCTCAAATTAGACAGCAACACTTACTTACACCACACACACACACACACACACACGCATGCACGCGCGCACGCACACACACACATCTATTATATATATATATATATATATATATATATATATAGAGAGAGAGAGAGAGAGAGAGAGAGAGTGAGAGAGAGAAGAAAATACCATCAGATTGGGCTCACAGAATCTTTAGCAGAAATTCTCTGGGGAAGCCCTATTGAGTCTGGGATTCCTAATACTCTCCCTAACAGAATTTACTATCCCCCTTG